TCAATTCTTTTTCAACGAAACTCGATTGTAGTAAACCTGACATCCATTCTGTCTTGTTTCTAATAACACATGTTTAACTTTACAAAAAGCTTTAATATAATTTTAAAGAAATTTATGCTTTTTTCTGAATAAAACCGTAGTTCAAAACTATTAGATACATAAAAAAATGCTATATAACAGAAGCTGTAAAACGTTTTCTTTCATGTTTTAAAGCGTATTCGAACAAATAAAAAGTGTTATGTTCCATAAAATACAGAAAATAACATTTATATTTTAACAACTGCAGTCCAAAAAAAGGCAAAAAATCATTTTATTACAACATTTTTTGGTTACTTTACGTGAAAAACTCAATTATTTTCAACGAAATTCGATTGTAATTAACCTGACATCTATTCTTTTTTGTTTCTAGTAGAACATTTTAACCGTCGCTAAAAATGTTTAAATATATTTTAAAACAAATTTGTGCTTTTTTCTGAATAAAACCGAAGTAATAAACTATTAGATACATAAAGAAATGCTATAAAACAAAAGTTGTAAAACATTTTCTTTCAAGTTTCAAACGTATTCTAATAAGTAAAAAGTGTTATGTCTAATAAAATCCAGCCAATAACATTTATATTTCAACAACAGCAGTCCAAAAAAAGGAAAAAAATCATTTTATTACAACATTTTATGGTTACTTTACTTGAAAAACTCAATTCTTTTTTAACGAAAGTCGATTGTAATAAACCCGACATACATATTCTTTTGTTTGGAGTAGCACATTTTAACGTTCAGTAAAAATGTTTAAATATATTTAGATAGAAATTTTCGCTACTTTCTAAATTAAACCGTAGTTCAAAACTAGCAGATACATTAGGAAATGCTATATGAAAAAAGCTGTAAAACGTTTTCTTTCAAGTTTTAATGCGAATACTAACAAATAGAAAGTTTTAGGTCCAATAAAATCAATCAAATACCATTTATATTTCTACAACTGCAGTTTAAAGAAAGAAAAAAAATCATTATATATAAAATTTTTTGGTTACTTTACGTGAATATCTAAATTTTTTTCAACGATACTCGATTGTAGTAACCTTGACATCCATTCTGACTTGTTTCTAATAGCACATTTTTTCCTTCACAAAGAAGATTTAATATATTTATTAAGAATTTTTTGCTACTTTCTGAATCAAATCGTTGTTTAAAACTATCAGTTACAAAGAGAAATGCTATAAAACAAAAGCTGTAAAACGTTTTCTTTCAAGTTTTAAAGCTCATACTAACAAATAAAAAGTGTAACGTTCAATAAAATCCAGCAAATAACATTTATATTTCCACAACTGCAGTCCAAAAAAAGGAAAAAAATTATTTTTTTACAACTTTTTTTTGTTACTTTACGTGAAGAACAAAATTTTTTTCAATGAATCTCGATTGTAGTAAACCTGATATCCATTCTGTCTTGTTTCTAATAACACATGTTTAACTTTACAAA